AAAACATTGAATTCAACATGTGGGAAACAAGAACAAAGACGAAGATTTAAGAAAAGAACACCATGGTGGAATGAAGATATAAAAAAATCTGTAAAGACAAAAAAAAAAAAAAAAAAAAAAAAACTTCAAAAAATGGCTACAAACAAAGACAGTAGAAGACTATACTAACTACAAAAGTGCTAGAAAATCCACTAAACAAATCAAAGTGGCAAAAGAGGACTCATGGCAGAAATATGGCGAACAACTTGTGAAAATTTCAAGGGAAAGACCTAGAGACTTTTACAAAAGTGTACATTCTATGAGAACAAGGGACGACAGTTTTAACCCTACCAACATTATTAATGATAAAAACGGAACACCGTTATTTAACGCTATCAGAAAGAAGGAAAGATGGAAGGAATACTTCTACGAACTACTCAATCCAACAAATACACAAACTAAAGAATACTACTCCACCTATAAGGAAGAACAAGAAGAACCTTGCATCCTAATTCAAGAAGTTGAGAGAGTTATCAAGATGAGCCCAAATAATAAATCAGCAGGTATAGACGGTATAACGAACGAGGCAATTAAAGCGTGCGGAAAGACCGGAGCAAAATGGCTACATAGAATATTCACGATAGCATGGAACGAAAGGAAAACACCGGAGGATTGGCAAAAAGCTATCATAGTCCCAATTTGGAAAAACAAGGGCAACAAAAGAGAGTGTGACACATACAGAGGAATTTCTTTATTGAGCCACGTAGGGAAGCTATATTCAAAAGTACTTGAGACAAGAACAAAACATATGGTACAGACACAGCTGAGTAAAGCTCAGTTTGGATTTAGGAAAGGAAAAAGTTGCACAGACGCCCTTTTCACCCTAAGACAACTTGGTGAAAAGGCAATAGAATATAACAAACAACTCAATATAGCATTCATTGACCAAGAAAAAGCCTTTGACAGGGTAGACAGGAACAAACTATGGAATATATTGAACGACTATGGAGTACAAGGTCAGCTACTAGACAACATCGGATCTCTGTACCAAACAAGCTCAAGCGTAGTTAGAACAAATGTTGGTGTGACAGACGAATTCATACTAAGAACAGGAGTAAGACAGGGTTGTGTACTATCACCACTACTATTCAGTATATACATGGACAGAATAACAACAGCAGCAAACCATGTAATGATAAGCGAACTGTTAACTACACCAAGCAATGAGACAGAGTTAGTTGAAAGAGATCATTATAATGAAAACATACACGCCGATCCTGAAGAAGTACATCCCCAACTGAACGAAATACTTTTCGCAGACGACCAAAGCATAATTCATGAAAACGAAAAAGAACAAATCCACGTAAATGCGCTACACACAGTCTGCAACGAATATAACATGAAGATCAGCATCACCAAAACAGAAATTCTGAAAATAAGTAGAACACCTAATATACTAACTATTCAAGTTAACAACGAACAACTCAAACAAGTGCAGCAATTTAAATACTTGGGGAGCATCTTCACAGATGATGGAAGAATTGATAGGGAACTTGAGGCAAGATGTCAAAACGCGAACGCAGTAACTTACCAATTCTCCCCACTGCTAAAACACCCAAGCATCACTATGGCACTAAAACGACAACTGATAAATTGCATATTTATACCAACCCTCTGCTACCAATGCCAAACCCTGTCCCTAACAAGAGCACAGGAGAAAAAGATCACGACGTGCGAAATGAGATGCTTACGTAAGGCTGCCAATGTCACAAGGAGAGACAGAGTTCGAAACGAGAACATTAGATCAATTGTAGGAACCACACCATGCCTGCAATACATTAAGAAGCAACAAATAAAGTGGTTTGGCCACTTGATGCGAATGCAAACCGACCAACTGCCTCTACGAGCATACAACGAACAACACTACTGCCCTAGAGCAAGAGGCAGACCGAGAGTACGATGGATAGACAATATATCAGAGATCCTGAGGCAACACGGACTAACAACAACACATGCAACACACCTGGCCCAGGATAGAAAACTGCGACTCCCCACTATGCTGTGAGGCAATTGTGGACAAGACAAGACAAGACCCCAAACACGAAATCCCCGTGGGAAATCCACAGCTGACCTGACAGTCCATTATTTAAAGGGGTGGAAGTGTGCTGTTGTGTGTGTGTGTGTGTGTGTGTGTTTTTTTTTTTTTTTTGAGTGTTCATCTAGTGTCTTCTAATCCTTACCCTAACCCTAACTCTAAACTTGGCTGTAGATAAATCGCGAGAAACTACAAACTGAACACCCTAGAATTTATTGGGAATGTCTCCCGTGACGTTGTCGTGACGTCAGGGGTAAGTTATAAATTAAGTACCAAATATTTTGTTTTACAAAACATCCTTTTAGTTTAAAGATATTAATAAAGTAAAGTAAAGGACCCCATTTTACTTCAGCAGACGCACTAGGCATATAGGGCTAGACATTTAGTTTATACTTAAATCGTTACTCGGCGGGTGACGTGGTTAATATCAGGCCGGTTGCCTTGAGTTCCCAGCACTTTACCTGGTACCCGATTAGGGCTGGACATTTAGTTTATACTTAAATCGTTACTCGGCGGGTGACGTGGTCAATATCACGCCGGTTGCCCTGACTTCCCAGCACCTTAACTCGTACCCATTTAGGGCTGGGTCGACCTGGCAGCCAAGGTTGTGTCCTAAAGGGGAAAAAGTCCAGTTTCGTCAGGACCTGAACACACGACCTTCACAGGCGAGCATCTAGCCACTACACCACGACGGTTCTCTTTTCAACCATACTGTTATGTGTATTTCCCATTCAATGTAAATTATTTGATTTACGCTTTTTAAACTTAGACTTGGTTATTTGAGCCCCCTACTCCCAGCACCAACTAGAAAATTTGTAATTGGGGTGGGGGTAGGGGGTGCAAAAAAAAAAAACTCACTCCCACCCACTTTCATGTTTTCTTGCTGTCGGCGCTGCTGATGTTGAGTCTAGCAGACTCAGAGACGAGGAGTGATTGACTAATAAAAGTAATTAACTCTGCATTAAAATCAGTAGGAAATAACAGCAACAACTAGAAAAGACAATTAAAAGGGTGATTCTGGAATATAAAACAAGAGAACTGTAAGAAAAACAAACGAAAGCGAAATAAACACATTTGTCACTGTCGCTAGCAATTTGCACCATGCAGACAAATGAATACAATGTAACCTTGCCAGTGCACAACAATAGGCAGGAGCTGTTGTCAACATGTGTGTTTACCTCACCCGGCTGTTGTGCTCACTCGCTGCTACTCGTTTAGTTTTCAAGAACATTAAGTTGGTCTACCAAAGCTTCTTGCCGCAATGAGAACGTGCCTACTACATGGTAACAGCGTGTTACTGCCACTTTATCATCCTTCATAAACTACATGGTAACAGCGTGTTACTGCAACTTTATCATCCTTCATAAACTACATGGTGACAGCGTACTACTGCCACTTTATCATCCTTCATAAACTACATGGTAACAGCGTGTTACTGCCACTTTATCATCCTTCATAAACTACATGGTAACAGCGTGTTACTGCCACTTTATCATCCTTCATAAACTACATGGTAACAGCGTGTTACTGCCACTTTATCATCCTTCATAAACTACATGGTAACAGCGTGTTACTGCCACTTTATCATCCTTCATAAACTACATGGTAACAGCGTGTTACTGCAACTTTATCATCCTTCATAAACTACATGGTAACAGCGTGTTACTGCCACTTTATCAACCTTCATAAACTACATGGTAACAGCATGCTACTGCCACTTTATCATCCTTCATAAACTACACGGTGACAGCGTGTTACTGCCACTTTATCATCCTTCATAAACTACATGGTAACAGCGTGTTACTAACACTTTATCATCCTTCATAAACTACACGGTGACAGCGTGCTACTGCCATTTTATCATCCTTCATAAACTACATGGTAACAGCGTGTTACAGCCACTTTATCATCCTTCATAAACTACATGGTGACAGCGTGTTACTGCCACTTTATCAACCTTCATAAACTACATGGTAACAGCGTGCCACTGCCACTTTATCATCCTTCATAAACTACATGGTAACAGCGTGTTACTGCCACTTTATCATCCTTCATGAACTACATGGTAACAGCGTGCTACTGACACTTTATCATCCTTCCTAAACTACATGGTAACAGCGTGCTACTGCCATTTTATCATCCTTCTTAAACTGCATGGTAATAGCGTGTTACAGCTACTTTATCATCCTTCATAAACTACATGGTGACAGCGTGCTACTGCCACTTTATCATCCTTCATAAACTACATGGTAACAGCGTGTTACTGCCACTTTATCATCCTTCATAAACTACATGGTAACAGTGTGTTACTGCCACTTTATCAACCTTCATAAACTACATGGTAACAGCGTGTTACTGCCACTTTATCATCCTTCATAAACTACATGGTAACAGCGTGTTACTGCCACTTTATCAACCTTCATAAACTACATGGTAACAGCGTGTTACTACCACTTTATCATCCTTCATAAACTACATGGTAACAGCGTGTTACTGCAACTTTATCATCCTTCATAAACTACATGGTAACAGCGTGTTACTGCCACTTTATCAACCTTCATAAACTACATGGTAACAGCGTGTTACTGCCACTTTATCAACCTTCATAAACTACATGGTAACAGCGTGTTACTGCCACTTTATCAACCTATATAAACTAACGTCTCCGGGCCCATGTTGTGTGGCGTTGGCAGTCATGACTCTCCACACCCTTCTATTGTGTGCACTTTTAATCAACTCCAATACAGTTGATCCTCCATGTCATGAAGTGAAACTGTGCAGCATCTTTTCGCTCCGTCACCACCCCCCCCCCCCCATTTTTTCCCTTGTCGTCATTTTCGTACGTACTCCAGTTTTGTCCATCTCATGACTTGGTTAGAGGATGTAGATTTATTTCCCCTTCACCTCTGGGCAATCAGTCCTCTTCATGCGTCAATTTCCTTCAAGATATCATCATTACTATTTTTTAATTAGTCCGGGATGTTCTCACTACTCACTCTACAGCCACACCTTCACCACTTTAACCTCACTCTATAACCACACCTTCACCGCTTTAACCTCACTCTACAGCCACACCTTCACCACTTTAACCTCACTCTACAGCCACACCTTCACCGCTTTAACCTCACTCTATAACCACACCTTCACTGCTTTAACCTCACTCTATAACCACACCTTCACCGCTTTAACCTCACTCTATAACCACACCTTCACGGCTTTAACCTCACTCTATAACCACACCTTCACTGCTTTAACCTCACTCTATAACCACACCTTCACTGCTTTAACCTCACTCTATAACCACACCTTCACCGCTTTAACCTCTCTCTATAACCACACCTTCACCGCTTTAACCTCACTCTATAACCACACCTTCACCACTTTAACCTCACTCTATAACCACACCTTCAAAGCTTTAACCTCACTCTATAACCACACCTTCACCGCTTTAACCTCACTCTATAACCACACCTTCACCGCTTTAACCTCACTCTATAACCACACCTTCACTGCTTTAACCTCACTCTACAGCCACACCTTCACCGCTTTAACCTCACTCTATAACCACACCTTCACTGCTTTAACCTCACTCTACAGCCACACCTTCACCGCTTTAACCTCACTCTATAGCCACACCTTCACTGCTTTAACCTCACTCTATAACCACACCTTCACCTTTAACTCACTTAACCTCACTCTATAGCCACACCTTCACCGCTTTAACCTCACTCTAACCACACCTTCACCGCTTTAACCTCACTCTATAGCCACACCTTCACCGCTTTAACCTCACTCTATAACCACCTTCACCTTTAACACCGCTTTAACGCTCACTCTATAACCACACCTTCACCGCTTTAACCTCACTCTATAACCGCACACCTATCACCTTCACCGCTTTAACCTCACTCTAACCACACCTTCCACCTCACTCTTCACCGCTTTAACCTCACTCTATAACCACACCTTCACCGCTTTAACCTCACTCTCACACCTTCTTCACCACCACACCTTCACCGCTTTAACCTCACTCTATAACCACACCTTCACCGCTTTAACCTCACTCTACTAACCACACCTTCACCGCTTTAACCTCACTCTATAACCCACACCTTCACCGCTTTAAACTCTAACCTCACTCTATAACCACACCTTCACCGCTTTAACCTCACTCTATAACCACACCTTCACCGCTTTAACCTCACTCTATAACCACACCTTCACCGCTTTAACCTCACTCTATAACCACACCTTCACCGCTTTAACCTCACTCTATAACCACACCTTCACCGCTTTAACCTCACTCTATAACCACACCTTCACCGCTTTAACCTCACTCTATAACCACACCTTCACCGCTTTAACCTCACTCTATAACCACACCTTCACCGCTTTAACCTCACTCTATTAACCTCACCATAACCACACTTCACCGCTTTAACCTCACTCTATACACCACACCTTCACCGCTTTAACCTCACTCTATAACCACACCTTCACCGCTTTAACCTCACTCTATAACCACACCTTCACCGCTTTAACCTCACTCTATAACCACACCTTCACCGCTTTAACCTCACTCTATAACCACACCTTCACCGCTTTAACCTCACTCTATAACCACACCTTCACCGCTTTAACCTCACTCTATAACCACACCTCACCGCTTTAACCTCACTCTATAACCACACCTTCACCGCTTTAACCTCACTCTATAACCACACCTTCACCGCTTTAACCTCACTCTATAACCTCACCGCTTTAACCTCACTCTATAGCCACACCTTCACCGCTTTAACCTCACTCTATAACCACACCTTCACCGCTTTAACCTCACTCTATAACCACACCTTCACCGCTTTAACCTCACTCTATAGCCACACCTTCACCGCTTTAACCTCACTCTATAGCCACACCTTCACCGCTTTAACCTTACTCTATAACCACACCTTCACCACTTTAACCTCACTCTATAGCCACACCTTCACCGCTTTAACCTCACTCTACAGCCACACCTTCACCGCTTTAACCTCACTCTATAACCACACCTTCACCGCTTTAACCTCACTCTATAACCACACCTTCACCGCTTTAACCTCACTCTATAACCACACCTTCACCGCTTTAACCTCACTCTATAACCACACCTTCACCACTTTAACCTCACTCTATAACCACACCTTCACCGCTTCAACACAACTTTTCGCTAATCGGCCAAATTTCTATGATTAACTTCCACATTTCAGAACATGATTTAAATAGCTCTGGAGATTATTACCTCACGAATTCTTGTTCATAACACTAACGGTGTAAAATCAATTTTAACACGACCATGACTTGACAAAAGAAACAAATTACAATTGCTGAGGCATGTTGGCATCAAACTATTTCCAATAAACCAAGAACAATTACTGAGGCATGCTGGCATCAAATTATTTCCAATAAACAAAGAACAATTACTGAGGCATGTTGGCATCAAACTATTTCCGATAAACAAAGAACAATTACTGAGGCATGTTGGCATCAAACTATTTTCGATAAACAAAGAACAATTACTGAGGCATGTTGGCATCAAACTATTTCCGATAAACAAAGAACAATTACTGAGGCATGTTGGCATCAAACTATTTCCGATAAACAAAGAACAATTACTGAGGCATGTTGGCATCAAACTATTTCCGATAAACAAAGAACAATTACTGAGGCATGGTGGCATCAAACTATTTCCGATAAACAAAGAACAATTACTGAGGCATGGTGGCATCAAACTATTTCCGATAAACAAAGAACAATTACTGAGGCATGGTGGCATCAAACTATTTCCGATAAACAGAGAACAATTACTGAGGCATGGTGGCATCAAACTATTTCCGATAAACAAAGAACAATTACTGAGGCATGGTGGGATCAAACTATTTCCGATAAACAAAGAACAATTACTGAGGCATGGTGGCATCAAACTATTTCCGATAAACAAAGAAAACAATTACTGAGGCATGGTAGGATCAAACTATTTCCGATAAACAGAGAACAATTACTGAGGCATGGTGACATCAAACTATTTCCGATAAACAAAGAACAATTACTGAGGCATGGTGGGATCAAACTATTTCCGATAAACAAAGAACAATTACTGAGGCATGGTGGGATCAAACTATTTCCAATAAACAGAGAACAATTACTGAGGCATGGTGGCATCAAACTATTTCCGATAAACAAAGAACAATTACTGAGGCATGGTGGCATCAAACTATTTCCACTAAACAGAGAACAATTACTGAGGCATGGTGGGATCAAACTATTTCCGATAAACAGAGAACAATTACTGAGGCATGGTGGCATAAAACTATTTCCAATAAACAGAGAACAATTACTGAGACATGGTGGCATCAAACTATTTCCAATAAACAGAGAACAATTACTGAGGCATGGTGGCATCAAACTATTTCCAATAAACCAAGAACAATTACTGAGGCATGGTGGCATCAAACTATTTCCAATAAACCAAGAACAATTACTGAGGCATGGTGGCATCAAACTATTTCCAATAAACAGAGAACAATTATTGAGGCATGGTGGCATCAAACTATTTCCAATAAACAGAGAACAATTACTGATGCATGGTGGTATCAAACTATTTCCAATAAACCAAGAACAATCACTGAGGCATGGTGGCATCAAACTATTTTTAATAAACAGAGAACAATTACTGAGGCATGATGGCATCAAACTATTTCCACTAAACAGAGAACAATTACTGAGGCATGCTGGCATCAAACTATTTCCAATAAACAGAGAACAATTACTGAGGCATGATGGCATCAAACTATTTCCACTAAACAGAGAACAATTACTGAGGTATGGTGGCATCAAACTATTTTTAATAAACAGAGAACAATTACTGAGGCATGGTGGCATCAAACTATTTCCAATAAACAGAGAACAATTACTGAGGCATGCTGGCATCAAACTATTTCCAATAAACCAAGAACAATCACTGAGGCATGGTGGCATGAAACTATTTCCAATAAACAAAGAACAATTGCTGAGGCATGGTGGCATCAAACTATTTCTGATAAACAAAGAACAATTACTGAGGCATGGTAGGATCAAACTATTTCCGATAAACAGAGAACAATTACTGAGGCATGGTGACATCAAACTATTTCCGATAAACAAAGAACAATTACTGAGGCATGGTGGCATCAAACTATTTCCAATAAACAAAGAACAATTACTGAGGCATGGTGGCATCAAACTATTTCCAATAAACAATAATCATCAAAGTTATTTCCCTGTGGGTTCCGGGCCCTATTCACAAAAGAACAGATCCAGTACATCCCCAATAAATCTCTCCAAGAGGGAGACAAATTATTATTGTCGCAGTGCAACTGTCAGAAGCAAGGAAACATATTTGATGTGAGATAGCTGTCACTGGTACACACTGGAGCCGTAGCGGAAACCGAGGAAAACAAGTGGCAGGAAAAACGAAGCCAGAAATTAGTGCTATCATATTATCACTGACTAGACGACCATCTCAACAGGTAGATAATATAAAGGAGATGTATTTGTCCACTCACCTTTCCTGGTTATCTGTTGCTGGTAGCTGTTGACCTCCATGGCGGTGTCATGTGGCGTTACCGGGTCTGGGGAGAAGACACACACAATACAGTAAAATACTGGACATCTCAACACTACACAATACAGTCAAATAATGGACATCTCAACACTACACATTTCACACAATACAGTCAAATACTGGACATCTTAACACTACACATTTCACACAATACAGTCAAATACTGGACATCTCAACACTACATATTTCACACATTACAGTCAAATACTGGATATCTTAACACTACATATTTCACACAATACAGTCAAATACTGGACATCTCAACATTACACAATACAGTCAAATACTGGACATCTCAACACTACACATTTCAGGCAAACTGCACTTACAGGTCCAATCATCACAGTAAAATATTCACACCATCCATCAATTTGTTTTGTGGCTGATCTTGCGAGCCTGAAACCCTCTAGAAAGTAAAGACCCCGATGTGATGCCGACACAACAACAATCAAGCGCCCACTGGTCCAAAAGAATATATCTTTTTTAATATCCCCCCCCCCCGACCAGCAGCAGTGTAAAATGTATTTGACAATTAAGCATTCGCATCAGAACACAGCGAACCTAAAACAAACAAACAAACAAACACCCCTCTCTCTCTCTCTCTCTCTCTCTCTCTCTAGCAAACTAAAGGCAGTAGATTAATGTGGCCAGAATCTACATACGAGCATCCACAAAGACTGGCCAGTGCAGTCAGACCATGTCATGAGAAGCCTCTTGAAACAACTCTTTCGAGGGGAGAATGAATAGGAGAATCATGAAACCAGACAATAGAATTGTCATGGGGAGACAAACAAAGCAGACGGTGCATTTGAAACTGGGCAGAGAAACGTCAGTGAAGACAATTGCCTTGTTATAGGCAAGAGAAAGAATTGGAAAAGACAAACTGGTTTCTACACAGGGATAAAACTGAGTGAGACAACAGAACCAGGAAGTAGGAAACACAACAGTCGCAGGTAGATAACTGCACAAAGCTACAGACAAGAAGAAGGCAGGCAGATGTGAACCTTTCTCATACGCACCCAGTTAGTCCTTTGTTTTACCAAGATTGTTCTCATGAGAATAAC